AGATTTGAATAGACGTTTTTCCAAAGAAAATAACCAAATGGGCAATAAGCACATGAAAAGATGCTCAATATCACTAGTCTTGAAGAAGACAAAACCACAACAAGTTATCACCTCACATCCATTAGGGCGGCTAAATTAAAAAAAGAAACTCATAAAATAACAAGTGTTGGCAAGGATGTGGAGCAATTGGAAGTCTTGTGCACTGCTGGTAGGAATATAAAATGGTGCCGCCACTGCAAAAAACAGCATGGCGCTTCCTCAAAAAATTAAAAATAGAATTATCATATGATCCAGCAATTCTATTTCTGGGTATATACCCAAAGGAATTGAAAGCAGGGTCTTGAAGAGATACTTGTACACTGATGTTCATAGTAGCATTATTTATAATAGCCAAAAGGTGGAAGCAACCCAAATGTCCATGGATGGAAAATTATATAAACCAAATGTGGTATAAACATACAGTGGAACATTATTCAGCCTTAAAAAGGAAGGAAATTCAAACACATGCCTTAATATGGATGAACCTTGACGACATTATGCTAAGTGAAATAAGCCAGGTCACAAAAAGACAGATACTATATCGTTCTACTTATATGAGGTACCTAGAATGGTCTAAATCATAGAGACAGAAAAGTAGAATGGTGGTTGCCAAGGACTGAGAGGAAGGGGGAATGGGGAATTGTTGTTTAATGGGTATAAAATTTCAGTTTTGCAAAATGAAAAATGTTTTAAATATGGATGGCAGTGAAGGTTGTGCAATGATGTGAATGTACTTAACACTTTTGAACTGTACACTTAAAAATGTTTGAAATGGTAAATTTTGTTGTGTATTTTACAAGAATTACAAATTTTGTAAATCAATAAAATATATGTTAACATAAATGATATATTTTGGGAGGAGGGTGAGAAGAGCATCCCCAGAAGGCAAATGAAGGTGCAGGGGTAGAAAGACCTGGCAAAGCATGGTGAAGGAAGGGCGTGCCCTGCTCCGAAGCTGTAGTCAAGATGTTGGAGTTTATTCTAAGGGCAGAGAAAGTCATTAAACTGGGTTCAGTCATGGGCAGAAGAGATTTTGCTTTAGAAAGATTATGTGGATCAGACTGGAGGGAGCTAAAGAGGAGGCAGGGAGCCTGGCTGGAGGCTCCTGCAGCCATCTAGGTAAGGGACGATAGCAATTTAGTCTAAAGTGGAGGCAGTGCAAATGGAGAGATGTGGAGGGCCTTGAGATATAGTCACAACATGACTTGGGGAATAGCAACATGACTTGGAAATGGTCCTAAAGGAGAGGAGGAACCAAAGGCAGTTCGCATGACTCAAGCATCTGAGTGGATATAACTGCCATATATCGAGATGCGACTTCCAGGGAGAAACAGCGTTGAGGCAAAGAGCTCCATTCTGATAGTGTTAGGTCTGAAGTACCTGCAAGATGTCTAAGCAGAGAAGTTAGCCTAGCACTTGGGTATTTCAGGCTGAAGCCAGGCTGAAGGTATAAATGATATTTTAAAACGGTATAAATGATATTTAAAGCTATGGGAGGGGATCACCTAGAGAGAGAGGAGGGAGAGAGGAAAAGTGGAGGCAGGCTGAACCCTGAGGAACTCCAGAAGACTGGAAGAAAACAGCCAGCTAGGGAGGAGGAGAGGAGAGGGTATCAGGGAGCAGGAAGGGGTCAGCTGTGCTAATTTAACAACCAGATTAGAACATTTTCTGTGGAGGTGGGGAGGCAGAAACCAGACTGCAGCGAGTGAAGGTGAAGTCTGGCTCTAAAGGGATGTGGAGTGGGGGAGGTGGTAGCTGAAGGAGGCCCCAGGGCTGGTGGGAGGGTACTGTCAGGGCTCAGGGCAGGCCACCCCAAGATATCCCACAATAGCATGGTGACTATTTCAAATTAAACTCACTTGAGAAGCAGCAGGAGCTCTTTGACTCTTGTCTGTCTCTCTAAATGCAGGAAATAAATCTCCACATGATAGGTGCCCTCCCTGCTCCTGAGGGCTGAGAGACAACCTTATCACAAGAGTTATACAATCCAGAGTTGAAAAGCCTGTGTAAAAAAACCTTGTAAGGCCTTTACTAATTTACTACCCAAGCCTAAACCTTGCTTAGATTCTTTCCTAATGAGTACCAACTTTCTTTGTCCTATCAATATCACAAATTTATCATTTCTTTAACAAGTATAAAAAGGTGCCTAGTTTGATAATTTTTTGAGCCTCATTTTACGATCTGCACACCTGATTGTGTTTCTTCCATGCATATGTATTAAATTGGTGTTTTTCCTTTTAATTTGGTCTGTGTCGATTTTATTATTTTATTACCAGTCCAGCGATAAGAACTAAAGAAATGTAGAGGGGAAAATTCTGCCCCCCCCCAACAGTATTTTTTAATGCATTTAATCATTTTTGTTAAATATTTTCAATTGCCCCCTTCTGTTTTATTTGGGGGAAAAATGCATGCTCATGGGAAGAAGAATTCATACAGAAAGGTGGTGGGAACCTGTAGAATCTTTTATAATAAAAGAATTCAACAATTCAGGAGGTTGGCACTCAATGGTGACCCCCATCCCAAGTTTCATGTGTTGAAGGAGAATTTTGTCTATTTGATTTGTTTGTTTTTTACATGGGAAATACCAGAGCATACCTGAGTGTTGAAGGAAAGGGCCAGAAGGGGGATCGTAGGCCCTCATCATGGACTTGGCCTGTACCAGGAAAGGAGTGTTCGATGTGTGGCAGTGGGAAGTGGGAGTCCCATTTGACAGCTGCTGCTTTTGCTCTGAAGTCTGAGCTGAGGTTCTCAGCTGAGAGTGAAGGAGAGGGATTGGGATCAGAGCTTTGAGGCGAGAGAAGAAACTGAACAGGAGGCTGAGCTGGCTCCCAGTGTCACAGCTTTGGTCTCCTGTGGCTCCAGCTTCTACTCTATCTAACACTCCCATCCCCAAGCCTGTTCCCAGTCCAGCAGCCTTGTGGAGCTTCCAAAATGTCCAGTGAGATGACATCATTCTTCCACTTCAAATCCTGCAGTGGCCTCTTAGCTTACATCACTGGAGTGAAGCCTCCTAAGTCCTCACAGGCCCTCCCTGTTCTATGACAGCTGCCCTGGTCACCCTCCTACCCTGGATCCTAGTACTTCCCTCCAGCCACGCAGTTCTGTGAGCACCAGGCACACATCTGCCTCAGGTCTTGCACTGGCTGTTCCCTCTGATAGACCAGTGTTTCTCAACTTCGGCACCATTGACTATTTGGACCTGGTGATTCTTTGTCATGGGAGGCTGTCCTGTGCACTGCAAGATTTTTACAACTTCTCCCTACTAGATGCCAATAGCATGCCCCTGCAACACACACACACACACGCACACACACACACACACACACACACACACACGAGTTGTGACAAGTAAAAATGTCTCCAGACATTGGCAAAAGTCCTCTGGGTAAGAGGAAGGAATCACCACTGATTGAGAACCACTGTTCCAGAATATACACTGGGCTTCCTGCCTCACTGCCTTTAAGTCTTTGCTCCAGTCTCATCTGTTCAATGAGGCCTACTCTGATCACTTCATTTAATCCTGCATCTGGCCCCCCATATGCCATAGTAATTGTCACTTTCTCACATACTACATGATTTACTTATTTATTACAATTATAATGTGTCTTTTCCATTAAAATGTGAGCTCCCCGAGGGCAGGGGCCTGACAGCTTTGTTTATTGATGTATCCTAAGTGTCTAGATCTGTACCTGGTACCTAGTAAACATAGAATAAGTATTTTTGGAATACTTAATAAATTAGAGGACCATCGATATCTGAGCACTAGAGCGGGCCCAGCTGAGGCTGGTGCACATGAGTTTAAGGTGAAACTCATCTTCTGAAGTCACATACTGCCTCATATTGAGAAGCGACTTTAACACATGTGGGTAAGCAAGCCCCTCACTTATCAGAGAACCAGAACCATCTTAGCTTCATCTTTGGGGCCTCGTCACCTGGCACAGTGATTAGGCACATAGCACAAATGGTTTGTTGGATGAACTGCAGAGACTGAGTTTGGGGCTGGGTTGAAGGAGGTGGAGGGTCCATAATGATTGAGATGGAAAGGGACAGATGAAATAAGGGCAAGAGTAGTCCAAAAGTAGGTGTCCTGGGAAGCACTTCAGGCTGTGTAATGAGATGTGGAAGAGGTTTTCAGACACGAGGCAGGGAGGAGGACCTGGTCAGAAGGCCCGAAATGGTGGCATCGGCCACTCTGAGCTTCCTCAGCATTCCCTGCCCTGTGGGTGTCATTTTCTCAATTGGAAGGTGAGCTCTGTAAGGGAATGTGTCAGGGATACGGCTTCTTCAGCATTTTGATATCCTAATTATTCATGCCCTTCTTCATTCCAAAAGAAAATTCAAGGTATTTAAAAGAATATGTGAAAAACAATAAGAAAATATTGTGGTTTTGGGGTGAGGGACTCATTGTAAAAGAATATGAAAGAACTTTCTGGGTGCCAGAAATGCTCTTTCTTTTGATTTGGGTGTTAGGTATGAGGAACAGAGAGAAGAAATAATATGGAGTCACTGGAGTCAAGCTGCTAAATTACTAAAATCAGGTTGGTTGAGGCATGAAGAAACAATTCTATTCTTGTTTTTGACTAGCCTGGAAACTCAAGCTTTTAAAGTTTCTAGTCCTGTGACAATACCTGGATATACATCAAACCTCCAAATAACCCTCTAATTACCCCCTGAAGGACTAAGGAAAGAATGTTTGTGTATCCAGACCATTGGTCATCTAGAGGATTACCATCTCTGACAAATCCAGAGGCAAGAATCCAGGACTGATTTTCCTTGAGGATGTACTTTTTACTGTAAGAACTCTTAGCTTTTCCTGCTTTTTTGAAACACTCTGTGTATTGTCCACTGTGTTTCCTGTTTGCAACCCTAAGACCCTTGAATCATTTACTTCTAGCCAAAGCTTCCAGACCCTTTTTGAGTTCATGGCTTTCAGCATTTGTGTTGTCAAAACTCATTCAATTGTGCTCGCTTCAGCAGCACATATATAAACAATTGGAATGATACAGAGAAGATTAGCATGGCCCCTGCACAAAGATAACACGCAAATTCGTGAAGTGCTCCATATTTTGTGCAGTGCCCCAGCCTCCTCACACCCTCTGCCGATTAGCTCAGCAGAAACAATGAGTCAAAGCAAAACGTATGGCACTCAATAGCACTCAATAGTGTGACTTTTCACTATTAAAATATTCATGTAAGACAAATGAAGCTGAGTTACACCTGAATATTTATATGCAAATATATCAACTTGCATTTCCTTCATAAACTTAAAAAAAAACCCTCATCCAATTGTATATTAAGATTTGTGCCCTTTTCACAAAGATGGTGCCGAAAGCGAAGACGGAAACTCCTACCTCACCTAAAGCCGAAGCCAAAACAAAGGCTTTAAAGGCAAAGAAAGCAGTGCTGAAAGGCGTCTATAGCCACACAAAAAAGAAGACGCACATCATCCATCTACCGAGGGCCTAAGACACTGCAGCTCCGAAGGCAACCCAAGTATCCTTGGAAGAGCGCTCCCTCCCCCGGAGAAACAAGCTTGACCACTATGCTAGCATTAAGTTCCCCCTAACTACTGAGTCAACCATGAAGAAGATAGAAGACAACAATACACTTGTGTTCATTGTGGATGTCAAGGCCAATAAGCACCAGATCAAACAGGCTGTGAAGAAGCTCTATGACATTGACGTGGCCAAAGTCAACACCCTAATCAGGCCTGATGGAGAAGAAGGCATTATGCTCGGCCGGCTCCTGACTATGATGCTTTAGATGTTGCCAACAAAATTGGGATCATCTAAACAGTCCAGCTGGCTAATTCTAATTATAAAAATTTTTCACTGTTAAAAAGAAAGATTTGTGCATTTCACTGGATGTAATTTTACCTCAATAAAGAAGGGAAAAGAATAATGAAAAAGGAAGGTGGGGCATCACAAACCAGGAACGAGTATAAAATGTAGACTAGTGATACCTTAATTGTTTTGTATGGGAGGCACAGATCTGCTCTGAATGTCCCAACAGTTAATGTACGGAGGGTGACTCTGTCAATAATATAGTTCCAAGAGTCCCAGAGATTAATAGCAAAGCAATTACTCAGGAAAACTCCTCCTACTCTTGGTATTAAAATCAATACCACAGAGGCATTTCTCCTGAGATCCTCCTAAAAGGACAGAGTAAAGAATGACCTCCTCACAATGCTTTGAGAGCAATAGTCATGGAGCATTTCTCAAAAAGAGCCTCTTTCCATGCAGGCTGCAGCATCACTGGAAGCACACTTTGGTAAAAGCAGCTCTGGAGGTTGGCGATAAACTCTGACCTCTAATGGAGATCTCTACTTCTTCTGCTTGGCCTGGGCTGTGTATTAGGAGAGTGAGGGACTTCAGAGGGGCTGAGAGAGGAGTCTTGCCTACCTGACCAAGTTCCTCTCACAGAGCTTATAGCCTGATATGTGAAGGTGAGGTGGCCATAGGGGCACTGGGAAGCCCCTATGGTTAGCAGAGCACAGACTCTGCTCCCTACAGACACAAAGAAGGAGTCAGGTTCATAGACTTTGGGGGAAAGCTGAGGAATATGACAAAGACTCAGGCCTGAGCAGAAGAGCCCCTGCCCCAAGTCTGTAAGGTAGAGCACTAACATAGGGTGCAGCCATCCAGATGGCCTGGGGTTGAGGTGTTTTATAGTACTCTGGACTTTCAGTTCCAGGCAAAGAGATGAGTTGGTTACCCTACAAAGGGGCTCCTGCAGGCCAAACCAATACCACAAGGGAACCTCTTTCGAAAGGGCTCCAGGAAGCCCAGCATTGGGGGACCAGATGCAGGAAACTCAAATCCTACAGCAGCTGCAGAGAGTTTGAATCTGCAGAAACAGACATGGAACAAGTAAGGAGATAAAAAAATTTTGCCTATATGCAGTGGTCTGTGAGTGGGGTTTAGGTATCACATCACAAAAGCCCTATCTAATTGGGTGCTGGAAATGGGGGGAACAGTCAGAGAAGTCATCACTGAGGAAGGTATGTTCGATTTGACATGTGAAAGATGAGAAAAAATTAACAAGATATAAACTCTTACATTTCTGGTCAACTAATTTTTGATAATGGTACCAAGTCAATTAAATGGGGGAAAGAATAGTGTTTTCTATAAATTGTGCTAGGATGCTGGATATCCATGTTTCATGTGATTCACAAACTGAATATTTTTTAGAGCTTTCAAGCAGCAGAAGCATTTAAAATTGAGTCTTGTGTTCTGTTGTCTCTTTTATGCAATCCAAAGTTAAGAGTCCTTAAGGAGTAAAATCAGACATCTTTTCTTGGACAAGATGAATAAAAATGGTGATTGAGGTCACACTTGTCTCATTCTAGACCTTAAAAAGAATATTTCTCCCTTCTTAATGCATTGTGTTAATATTTCAGCATTAAAGATGATGTTGCCTGTATGTTTTTAGTAGATTCTCTTTATCAAGCTAAGGAAATATTCTTTTATTCTAGTAGATTAGACTTTTGTGTGTGTTTTTTAAAATCATGAATGAATATTGATATTCATCAAATGCTTTTACTGAATTTACTTATATGATCATTTGGTTTTCCTACTTTAATCTTAAGTTAATGAATTACATTTTTAAAACTTATTTTTTGACATTAGGTGGGGGCACACAAAATTGGATTATTCATATTCTTTGGTTCATGACACATTGTTATTGTTATTCCATGCATGATGCTATTTTGTTTTATTTTTAAGTTTTATTTTAAAAACATCCATCGACCTACTACCCAAACCAAGAACTAAAACATTGATGATAACTTATGTCTACCTGTGAACTTCTTACCCAGCTGGTCCCCCTGACAAACCGAACATAAGGTGACCACTATCCTGACACTTGCTTCCCCCAAGCTTTATTGAAGTATGATTGACAAATAAAAATTGTATATATTTAAGGTGTACAATGTAATAATTTTATGTAAGTATACATTGCAAAATGATCACTACAATCAAGCTAATTAACATATCCATCACTTCACATAGTCACCATTTTTGTATGTGTGTGGTAAGAACAGTTGAGATCTATTTTTTTAGCAAATTTTAAGTGTGCCAGTACATTATTATCAACTATAGTTACCATGATATAGGTCTCTGGAATTTATTCATCTTATAACTGAAAGTTTGTACCCTTTGATCAACATTCCCCCATTTCCCCTATCACCCCCACCAGCTGCTGGCAACCACCATTCTATTTTCTGTTTCTATTAGTTCAACTTTTTTCGACTCCACATACAGGTGAGATCATGCAGTTTTTGTCTTTCTATGTCTGACTTAGCCTAATGCCCTCCCAGTTCACCCATGCTGTTGTAAATGACAGAATTTTCTTCTTTTTTGAAGATCAATCAATTAGTCAATCTTAAAAGAAGAAAATCCTGCCATTTACAACAGCATGAATGAACCTGGAGGGCATTAGGCTGAGTCAGACATAGAAATATATATAATATATATCTCACATTTATTGTGTGTATATGTATGTATATCACATATATATGTATATATCACATGTTAAGCTATATATACATTAAGATTGAATAATATTCCATTAAATATATCTCTCTCACATTTGTGAGCTAGATATTATATATATATCACACATTACATATACATCACATTTTCTTTATTTATTTACCCATTGATGGACATTTAGGTTGTTTCCATATCTTGGCTATTGTGAATAATGCTGCAATGAACATGGGAGTGCAGATATCTCTTCCAGATAGTGATTTTACTTTCTTTGGATATATACCCAAAGAAAATAACTAGGTGGTAGTTCTATTTTTAATTTGTTGAGGAACCTCCATACTGTTTTCCATAGTGTTTGCAACAATTTGCATTCCCACCAACAGTGCACAAGGGTTTCTTTTTCTCCACGTCTTCAACTTTTTGATAATAGCCATCCTAACAGGTGTACAGTGATGTCTCGTTGTGGTTTTGATCTGCATTTTCCTGATGATCAGTGATGTTGAGCATTTTTTCATAATCTGTCCCAAGCAGCTTTGGGCAGGATTCCTGATAGAGTCTTTGAAGGATTTACTAAGATCCCAAATCCTGTGATGAGTTATGAGCCCTGGTTGCTATGCTTCCAGCCTCTTAGTCCCACTGATCACTTCAGCATTCTGGATGGAGTGAGAAAGTGATAGGCCTCTTGGGCTGCCCCCTTGGAGAAATCACAAGTGGGGGTGGAGGGGGTGCCTGGGATAGGTGGTGGGTAACTGGGGGTAGGGAGAAGAGTAAAACTGTTCTTAACCTCTTCAATGCATGTATTCTTGGATTTTTTGCTCCAATGGTGTGCTAAAACTCTCCACTAAACTCCTAAACTCCTGGACTCCCACAAAGATACTGTAAAGGAGCAGAATTTGCCACCCTCAAATATGTCTCTTTGGCATAAGGATTATTTTCAGCTGGTTATTTTTAAGAAACAGAGGACCTGGGAGAAGCTCTGCAAACTGAGTAGAAGTTACCCCTTTGTAAGAGATATTTACATATATAAAGGAAATCTCTGTTTATAGGGGTGTCTCCCTCTTTGTACAGCAGGGGTCTCCAACCTCTGGGCCTAGAACTGATGGTCTGTGGTCTGTTAGGAACTGGGCTGCACGATAGAAAGTGAGCAGTGGCAAGCAAGCGAAGCTTCGTCTGTATTTGCAGCCGCTCCCCAGCACTAGCATCACCACCTCAGCTCCATCTCAGATCATCAGGCGTCAGATTCTCAAAGGAGTACCAGTCCCTGATGCCAAAAAGGTTGGGGATCGCTACTGTATGGTAAAGGATGATTCAGTCTCTAAAAACTCTTATCAATGGAGAAAGCAATGACTTAAATCTGTATAACAACTTTACCCTTGTTTACTGTGATTTTCCTGGTAACCTCCCATAACAGACTCCTCAACCCATTATTACATCTTCTTTTGTCTTTAGCTGAAGATGGTATTTAAGGTGATGGCTTTGGCCATTTTGGAGATTTACTCCTGTGTCTCTCCCATGTACTGTAGTCCCCACTCATCCATTGGGGGATACCTTCCAAGACCGCCCCGTGGATGCCTGAAACC